TCCGCTTGGAGGGAGGTTCAGAAACCCTGAGTCCAAGGGTATCCAGATCAGAATTGTGATTGAATTTTTGCAAAGAAGGGAGTATTGGTAAGGCATTTCAGCTCCTGTTTAAGCAAGACAGTATACCGTTGATTATCATTGAATACCCCTGCTTTGAAAGTGCTGAATATAGTGCATTTCGCCGGCTTAGTAGGAGTACTGTATAGTCGATGAGTCAAGATATCGGGAACTCTGAATCCAAGCCTCTATAAAAGCCTCCATTCCCCAACTGTTTCGCTGTAATGTTCTGACAACGCGAGATAATTTTGACCGTCTTTTCTGCCGGTTATAAGGCATTGTAGGCAGGTGCTGTGGGCCACGGCGGTTTGATCGTGAACAAGCTCGCGGGGTATCGGTATCAGTATCGGTGATCTCGAATTCCGAAGGAGTATCAATAGATTCAAGCTCTGTTAAGTCACTGTCTGATGTGTCATATTCATCATCTACATTGTTGGGAGACTGTAGTGGTTGTAGAGAGGATTCATCTTCGAGTGATGAAGGATATTGGCTGGAGCGCGTCTGACATTGGGTGTCTTGAGATTCAAAAGACACGCTGTCTTTTGTCAACGATTGTGACATGATGAGAAGGGGTAGTGAGTTGTAAAATAGCAGAGATGATAGCAGAATGGCTGAGGATTTGAAAAATATCGGTTTGGTGATGATCAGGCAGATATTTAGGGTAGATGTATGATTTCGAAGTCAATCGAATATTTTGTATGGGCGGTGTTGATTTTCCACACACGATGGAACCGTTTCTTCTCAGACTCTCTACGAGATATTAGGTTGCGAGCACGTGTGAAGTCTCTTATTGGTCCAGAAGTTAGCAGGACTTGGCAGAAGTCTAAAGGAGTTTAGTTGGTCGCGCTAATCCGAAAATATCGAGAAGAGAGGCTGAGCATGCTGAGATAAACTAGAAGGATCTTCCCAACGAAAATCACGTGGCAGTAAATGCACGTGGTACATTGGCAATATGGGAAAACGGTAATCCATCGGTGGACGGCATAGGCCATTGAACCGATTTCTGTGGTTGTGTGGCGACCAAAGGACCCAACGGCCAAAATGAATATGTTTTCCTCTCTACAACGAGCCCTATTTGCAAGGTTCTCTAACAATGACGATGACATCATTTAGGGACACGTTTAGTGATTAAGAAACCATGGCCCCATAGTGCGTACTTTACCCGCTTTCTCACATCAGTCTGCCACCATGTCAAATATTTTCTTCCCGTGTCGTCCCATTTGCACGATATGCGTGGAATAAGGCAACCATGCGCAAAAGGGTGACTAGTTGGAGAATTCTCACCAGTTCCACTGCAAGGTTTATCCTGGGCGGCTTCTTGACCTGCTACTCACGCTAGTTGCTTTTAGCGCTGTAATCGGTGGGTCTCCAGCGGCTATTTCGGGCACCCTGTTGGTTCAGGAACTGTTGAATTTATTTTTGTTTTGACTTTTTGGACTTTTGAAAATCTTTTCTACATTTTTGATCTTTTACCTTCCTATTTTCTTTTACTAGTCAGTGCTTTCTTTGTTGCAAGCCTCTTTTTACCCCAGGACATTTCTGTCACACTGCTGCTTTTGTTGCAAGCCTCTTTTTGTCCCAGGACATTTCTGTCGCACTGCTGATTTTGTTGCAAGCCTCTTTTTGTCCCAGGACATTTCTGTCACACTGCTGCTTTTGTTGCAAGCCTCTTTTTTTCCCAGGACATGTCTGTCGCACTGCTGCTTTTGATTGATTGATTGATTCATAGACCGTCCCAACCGCCCGCAGGCAGTATGCAGCGTACGACTATAAATACAGGTGTTCCCGCTCTTGCTTCCGAGACCAAGCTATTCGTGGTGCGAATTGCTTCCATTCTGCTCAAGCTCAGATACCCCTCTACCAATAATCTTTCTATCAGTTCTGTATCTCTGCCTTGTTAGGTCTTTCCTGACCCTCCTCAACTTCTGTCTTAATTGCTTGCTTGCTTGATTGATTGATTGATTTATTCGAGTTGAAACCTCAAACTGGCATACAAGTGTATTATTTTCTATAACTATCCATGAGGATAGAAACTGCTAGTTATAACTGTTTCTTCTACCAATAAACTTTCCTTGAGGGCTGGCAGCATCAGCTTAGTCATATATATATATCTATATGTCACGTGATGATATTCAACTCTCAGGCAGCTATGCAGCGCACTAGAATTTCTGCTCTTTTGGAAACGCAAGAAGACAGCTATAGGCGTACACACTCACGAGAGGTTTCTATGGATATGATGATTCGCCTAAGTTGCTGTGCGACTCAGTTAGCTCAGCTTGAGATATTTCTAGACACATGAAGTTACTCGATTCGAGTGGGAGTTCTCCAAGTCCCCACGCTTCACAAATGTATTCTCTTGTATTACTTTCGACGAGCATAAAAAAGGGCCAAGTTACCGGCTATGCGTATTGGCGAAAGGGTTCGTATCAAAAATCACTTGTAAGGTTACGTACAGTGCACCAGAACTTAGCATCGCTTCCCCCTAAGCCAGCAGTCTCCCTAAGCCAGCAACCTCCCTGGGCCAGCGGTCTCCCTAAGCCAGCAGTCTCCCTAAGCCTCCTGAGCCAGGACGCAAATGATAATCATCAGATTATTAGAGAAATCAAGGATAAATCAAACCGAATTCCATCCTGTTTCATCTTTAATAAATCCTAATAAAGGACAAAATATATTTTCCTTTTATTTCACCACTTTAATTTTTTTATTTCTCACAACTGATCCTCTTCAATTCTATCCAGTGGATGTACTTCACGGGTCCGCTTTGGATTATCCTGTTTTTCTCTTTCTTCTTCTTGCCTTGTTCTTGTTATATTCCCCGCCTTTCGCTTTCCGGTTTTAGAATCATGCATTGACATATAGCCCATAATATCATCTACTGATGCTGAAGTTGTGATGGATATTCCATGACCTGTCTTTGGGCCAACAAATAACAGTCTCTCTTCTTTTGCTACCTTCAGGATTTTTGCATCAGGTAAACTTTGACCCATTTTCCCAACATGATGCATGAAAAAATGATCTTTAGAAAGTGAGAAAATCGTAGACCGAAGGGCGAAGTCATCATTCCAAAATTTGTAGAATTGTCGAGAGAGAACATATAGAAGACAATCAGATCATTATTTGGAGAAGCATGCCACGCTTTCAACATCTCCTCTGTACTGCGATTGAATGGCGAAGTTATCCTAGTTTTGGGCGATCCTCCTCCTTTTGCGGTGTGGAACGAAGAAATTATTTCCAATGAGCTCTCTGAGGACCATTTTGAACCAAAGATTCACTGCGAGAGCCACAGACAGGAGGCCGACGTCCCAAGAGGCTCGAGTCCACATAAGGAAAAGAAAAGGAATCTCAAGAAGAAGAAGAAAAGGTCCTCCCACTATACTCGTGATCAATCCAGCAAGCCATGTATAGAAGAGCACATTGAAGTGCCTGCGGAAGCACCTGTTGAAGAAGCCGCCGAAGAGCCTGCCGAAGAGCCTAACGTAGCTGAATTTGACGGTGGGCGCTCGGATTCAGAACATAGCGGTACTTATCAGGGGCCTGCCTGCTGACGAGAATTGCGATTACAATCAAGGCGGTACGGAGCAGTATGATAGTGGCGAAGCCTTGTCCGAGAGGGGCTACCGGATCCAAGTATCGGCGAAGCATTTGACCCTTGCCTCTCCCGTTTTTAAGAAAACACTATTGGGCCAGTGGAAGGAGAGTGTGACTCTCTTACAAAGGGGCTCCGTTGATATTCCTGCAACGGGCTGGGATATCGAAGCATTCTTAATCTTGCTTCGAATTATACATTGTCAGCCCAATGATATACCTCGGGAGTTATCCCTCGAGATGCTTGCTAAAGTCGCTATAATAGCAGACTATTACCAATGCAAGGAGGCGATGGGGCACTTCCTGGATGTGTGGATTGGAAAGTTATCATCAATTCCGGCGAACTATTCTCGGGATTTAAACTTGTGGTTATGGATTTCCTGGGTGTTCCAACTGCCAAGCCAGTTCAAGGAAGTGACCTCGATAGCTATGTCGCAGAGTCCGTGTCGGATTAGTAGCCTGGCGCTTCCAATCCCCGAAAACATTCTCGGTAAGCAAGGATGAACTCCAGTGTTGGCGGATCTAACATAAATTTAGATGCAATAAATTACGGGAGGGAGAATGCTATCCAAAAATCAATTCTTCTTCTTCATAAGGAACAGCGGACCTTGCTATACAACGGAAATGGGTGCAGCTTTGAATGCAGGTCAATCATGTATGGTGCTCTCACACTGGAGATGCAATCAAATGAATTGTACTCGCCAAAGCCCGAGGCTCCTTTCCCGGGGTTGAGTTACAACGGACTCGTGCAGAGGGTGCTTTCGTTTAAATCGCCGAAATGGTACCGTTCGCCCTCAGGTTATTATAACTGCCACACTTGCCTCCATTCCTCTTTTAACTCCCTTCTTGGCCCGTTGGATGAAGGTATCGGAGGGCTTGATCTCAGCTATTATATATCTTAAGAACTGGCAGATTCCTTGCTTTGATTATTTGGTCCCACAAAGAGCTGTTGTCTTCGTTGTATTTATCACCATCAATACTTAGTAGTTGGCGGATTCGGCGAAGGAAAAGGGCGCTTAGAATGGAGCGCTGGGACCAAGCTCAATATTGGGAGGAAGACCTTGATACGAGCTCGTTTTCCCGTAAATCTGCGTTGCGTTCCCTGCTTATTGCTTGGCTGCCTTTTTTGACCTAACCAACGTACAACGAATGCTCCATGTTGTTGTCAGTACCTAAAATTCATCCTATAGAGAAAGGTCCATCTCATCAGAATATAAATAGGGCTTTTCAAGTAAATGATCGCAAAGAACTTGGATCATAAAGGGGCACCTTTATTTAGCGGGCCTGTCATGCTGCCAAAAATTCGAATATTAGACCCAACTCTCTTATTTCACCGGTGAATTACTTGGTCGGCCCTCCGCTAAACCAGTAGAAGATGTAGAGATGTCTGGAGAAGACTAAGACGTGTCTCAGTTACAGCTTTGAGTATGTGGTTTCAAGGAGGCATTGGTGCCCTGGTACTGGAGGAGTTCCTAAATACATCTATAAATGTACGTGTTGAAAGAGTGTGACCCAAAAAGAAGTGCGAGCCGAAAAGGGGTTGCAGGCCGAAAGGGAATGCGAGCCGGACAACAAAAAAGGGCGGGCCAGACGGAGCGCCAAAGAACCCAGCAAGGCTTGGCTTGGCTTCGACGCAGCAATCAAACATGTAGACCTCCAACTCCCCCGCCTCTTTCCACCAGAATGATTTCAATATTAGACGCGAGGTTGGCCATAAAATTCTCTACCTAGTAGCTCTTGATAACACCAGTGATAACCTGACGACACATTCCGCAGGTTGCGCCAATGGGGGGAAGGCATTCTGGGTAATACCGGTGTCCACACAGAAGGGTCCTCCACCCTGATGGGATGGTATAACAGATCTGACATTGACATTGATGCTTCAGTTCACGGACTTCAGTCTCGAGTCTGTCGACCAGCCCATTCTTCCTGGTGATTTCTGCACGCAGGTGCTGCACTTCTTCTTCCAGCGCTTTTCTCTTCGCATGCTCCGCCTCGAAAATGTTATGAATTCCCTGGTTCGCGGTTTCCTATCTCAATATCAGCAAAGGAAAAGGCCCCACCATGTGCCATACGAGGAAGAGTCTTACCAAAACCGTGCCCAAGTTGGGTAAGTTGGGAATTTTACGTTTTTTCGGTGGCTGCCTCATTTCGGAGGGCGCTGGGTCATCAAATAGAGCCTCATACACCGGATAGCTGTAGTCTGTGCGGGGTCTCTTTCTTCGCAGCTTTCGTGCCGGGGGCAGGTGTTCATCCATCTCCGCATCTGAACTGATGATGATAGTGCTACGAAGCCCGTCGCGGGGACTATCAGCTGACGCCATGATTGAAGGATGGTTGTGCCCCGGAAATGCGGCTCACTAGGAACGGCTCGTGCTGCAAGGAGGTGACTCCGGATTCGAGGCTGTGGATAGAAAAAAAAAAAGAACCCTGAAGAGCTCCAGTGGGGGGGAAATAGGTTCTTTGATTTCGCTCGGTTGTCTTCGAGTCGACAAGGGCCTCTGGGCGGGTTTCACTCTCGCGGCGGTGTAGAATGGGAAGTAGGAAAGGAATTGAAAGAAAGATGGATCCAAGGGGGGAGGGAGGCCCTCTATATACACCAGGAAATGGGGGGCCGTCACGGGGTGCTCGTCTCGGGTTGCTCTCTCCAGGCATTGAAGCACGGCGCAGCAGCCAACAATACCCGAGGACGAAGTCTGAAAATAGAACTCATGCAGCAACGGCATCCCTTCCACGGCTGTCGCATGCGAATCACCGCGGGGGGGGGAGGGGGACAAGAAGGTGGGTATCATTCAGCTGTGGCTGCGTACAGTTGGCCCCTGAGGAGAAAGATAAGGGTGCGGTCAGGCGAGGCTACCCTCACCTGCCTACCAAGGGCCGTTGATGAACGGCTTGGAGAGGCAGGCCGCCTTTTATGGTCGATCATGATATCACTTTCATGTACATGGATGAGCATTACGTCTCACCCTCCGGGGCTACAGATGCTACTATGACACCAGCGGGTTCGGCTGTACGCATTCCCCTCTCTTGTTTCCGAAGCGTAGATACCCGCTGGCGCAGCGCCGATTCCATCCTTGCTGGAAAACACCTCTCCACCTCCGGCCAGGGTCGGCGCTCCTCGCGCTCCTCCACCATGTTCAGGAGCCGTGCGTCCTCCTCGGGGAGCCATCGCCACAGCTTGTCTCTGTGACCCTTTCTCCCCTCACCGCGCTCACGCTGAGTTTCTCTGACCTTGTGAGGAGCGGGGCGACCGGCTGACCGCACACTCCCGTCTCCCCACATTGCCGGCGCTGAGTCGGGCATGCAACTCGCCAAAGCACCTTCAAACAGCTAAGAAAGGAACTGCAGACGCTCGTCGAGCTGCAGCGACAGGAAATGGGAGCGAAGGGCTGTGGAGGGACCTTCCATAGACGATACAGAGGCAACGTGAAGCCGCTTTGCAGCCGGTTCTTCTGGCTGCTGTGGCCCTCGTTTGCGTCTCCTGGCCTGTGCATCGCTGAGGAAGTCGTCGCTCGTGCTGTAGGAGCAAGGCACATCAACTTCAGTGCTGCAACGGGCGGGGTGAATCTGCCGATGATCCAGAACGTGAGTGTCATCGTCCGTTTGAGAATTTCTATTCCAGCTGTCAAGCCTCTCTCTGGATCCTTGGTGATGGTTGGGGGTGTCGCAGGACATAGACAGGGGAGGTTCCGGATATGGATAAATGGCCTTTGGGCTTGCGAGATCATCACCTTGCTGGACAGGCCGGCGAAGGTCACTAGTGCCCCAGGATGCGTCGTCGGCAAGGATCACTGGGTCAATGGGGATGTTGTTCTGGAGATCCGGGAGCCCGAAGAAATCTTCCAAGCTACCATCTGAGCTGGTTACACTGGGTAATGACGGATCAGCCCCTGTGGCGCCTCTCCCAAGGGGAGGCAGCTCGATCGGCGTGTCAGAGATATTACCTCGGACATCACGGGATGAAGTGGGATGTAAATTTGAGGTGTGATGTGCAGATTCATGGAGAGATGATACGCCATGCCGGGGATTCTTCGAACTGGGTGATGGTATAGACATCTTCCTTGATTGAGAGGGGGAGCTCAACGGCGAACACGGCTGAACATCGCAGCTGATGGGCACGCAGACTTCGGCCGGCGGCTTCGGGGGGAAGACCATGCTTGTGGGATAGCAGAGCGCCTCCAAATTGGTCACAACGTGCGACTGGAGAGGGGAGGGGAGGGGAGGGG